TATATATATATATATATATATATATATATATATATATTATCTAAAACATGTTTTTCCAAATATGACGCAACTTCCGATGGATACAAATTGATATTTTGTCATATATATATATATATATATATATATGTGTGTGTGTGTGTGTGTATTATACACACAGTATCCACATCTGAATGTTACTGCTGAGGTCCTTATTTTTTGTATATTGCATTATCTTTTACATTTTGTTGTGATTAAATTTAACCAAAACAACGTTACACTTCGACGTGATTATCCATGCATTAGAATTGACCGAACCAAGGAGTCGGTGGACCACGAGGATATTTATGTAATTTTGTCTCTTCTCTGGTAATGTATCCTCCCTGATTACGTGGCATGTAATCATTGGTTACAGCCATGCACGCCATTTTTTGGTACATTAAAATTTTGAAGTAGACCTTTTTTTTTCATAATAGAAAAAAAAAATACGAATTTTGAAAATCCAAGTTTTCATTTGGTCCAACCAAGGAATAAAAAACTATCACGATATTCATTATGAAAATTTTACATTATATATGCATATTAATTAGTAATGAAAACTTTAATGTTTTCAATATTTGAGATATACCTAATTCCATATTTAATACAGTATACAACAGTAACCATGTACATTCGTTATCTTATTTTAAATGATTTAATTAACATCGGCTTTTACGTGTAAAATATAATGTACGTTTACAAATGCCAAATAAAAAATGTTGGACCAACACTCCAAGGGCCTGCAATGATGAACGGTTAACTTCTAAGAAAACTTAACAAATAGTAATCATTAATTATAACTAGGTGAGAACCGCGCGATGCGCGGTTTATTCTTTTTGTTGATGTTCGATACGCAGTTTACCTTTTTTGTTGATATTAATTTTTAATGTTTACCTTTTTCGCGAAATTATATTATTAAATCATTCTATATATATATATATATATAAATTATTTAATAAAAAAATTTAAATATTATTGTACTATCATCGTATAAAATCATTCTTGGTTAAATAAGTTTGTAAATGTAATTTCATACATTTTTCACAATCAAATACAAACTTAATCAATATAATTATAATATATATATCTCAATAAATAAAATATTATTTGTTTTCAAATTTTGCTATATCTAAGATCGTAAATCATAATCAATTTATCTACCTACATAAAACCATCTAAATTGATTATAACAGAAAATACAATCACGAGTTCAAAAATGCTAGGAAATTAAAACACTCCACTGGGTTGTATTTATCCTCCTATATTACCTGGAAAAAAAATGTAGGATTCCAATGGTGGAATGATTGTTAGTGAATTTATGTCATTTACTTTGAGAGACCTAGAATTCTATCAAATTTGGTGTTCTCGTCCATGATTTCTTTTTCGTCGTTGTAGATATGAATTCAATTATGTCGCTCAGAGTAGACTATGTTTGTTCAGGAGATTTTCTTATAGTGGAGAAAAGGATATGCCAAATGATTGATGATCATCCGACAGAACTATAAATGTGGACTTTTATGTAATAAAATTTGAGACGGTAAACTCGCTTCTGGATCCATTCCTGATTTGCATTAGCATGATCAGATGTCACTGGGAAAATCATTTTGATGCTTCTTTTGGCACTATAATTTTGACTGCAACCTCGAAAGCAAACATTTTAACACCAAATTTTCGATAACAAAAACTATGTACTCTGACATTTCCTTCCATGCATGTATGGCCAAATTCCTTGGTTCTTAGTAATAAGATGAACGCCTTTTATTATATGATACATGAAACACGAAACAATTCAAATGACAAATTTACAAACTCTGAGATCATTGGTTTTGCACATAAAAAGCAACTAAAGAATGGAATAACATGACATGATAAAAATTGATGGATCAAAATGTCATACCTCATATTAAAACTTCTTTCCCTTCTTATTTGATTGCGTCAACATTTTAAATTAAAAATTTAATATATTAAAATTATAATTATAATTATAATATATAGAAGATGAAAGAGAAATTACAGAAAAAATGTTTCAACTTCTCAAATTTTCCCTGTGAAAAAACTATATTATTTTTTTTAACCAAATAAAACTTACATTCTATTTTTCTCAAAATAAATCCCAATTTCTAGAAACATATTATATTTAATCCTAAATATTAACATGACGTCGGGCATTCAAAATTGACACATCATATTTGTAACACAATATCAATATTTAAAATTAAATATGATATTGTTTTAAAAAGTGTAGATTTATTTACGGACAACAATAGAATTTGAGAATTATTTGTTAAATATCGTCTATATATTTTCTCGGAATTTTGACAGATTGAGATATTTTTCTTCTCATTTTTCAAAACGTTTATTGAATTATTTCAAGTTTTCAACCGGTTTAGCTTGGGATACTAACTTGTAAAAGCCAACTCGACGCCGCTGAGCTTCAATGTGAATGCAAAATCAAGAGCCACATATTTACGTATCAACAGCGCAAGAATTAACAGTTGTAAACCAGTTTAAAGTAAATAAATAAAATTAACCATGGTCGTAAACCTGAAGCGACAAACAAAATGCACAGTGTAACCTCCATACGGAAAAAATAATCCTCGCTTCTTCGTTTCGTTGCCTCTCTCTGGTCTGAGAAAAAAGGGATTTGAGAAGGTTTAAACGACGACAATAGCGGCACAAACCGATGCGAACACCAAAGTCGAAGAGAGTGGAATACGTGAACCTCCCTTACCTTATATTCCATATGAAGAAATGCACCGAGAAGTTCTTAGTTCAGTACCAGACATTCTTCACTGTCCACCAGATTCGATCTTGTCCACACTGTTCTTATATTCTTCTATTGCATCATTAACAAATATCCCAAATTATACACAACAATACCCAATAATGATTGTTTACATTACAAAATGATCATCAACCATCACCTTTGATAGTCTCTCTGGGAATCCATCTCCTTTGATCATCAATTTTTAGGCAGGAGGGTTGTTTCAAATGCATTTTCACTAACGGACATAATCTTGTTTGGCTCTCTGTTCAGTATTGATAGATCTTGCATTTCGTATAGTCACTGAGAAAATATATTATAATTGGAGGATACCCTATAATGTTTTCCGTTCACGTCGTATGTAGTAACTTTTTTTGCAGGTCGATAATGTATGTGGTGTAGTCATTCGGGTCTAGCCTATTGAAGACTGGAGCCACATATTGTAAGCCGGGGAAAAAAGATTAATTGTTAAATGTCATCATTCAAAAAGCAAAAGCAAAAACTAAAAAAACAACCCAGAGAATTTCGACATCTATTTTATCTAATATAAAACTTACCACATCTATGTAGTCAAAATGCATGACTATCTCATAGCCACATGTAGCAATATATATCTATCTTGTCTTTAAAAATTTTGGACTTATGGGCAAAACTTCTCTTTCGTCGACAGTTCACTACCTAACAGTGAAACAGAACAAAAAATACAGCATATAACCCTAAATCGCAGCCAGGAACAGCTGAGAGCAAGATCGAGAGGAAGATGGACGGATTTACCAGAAAACCGCTGCCTCTGCGCCAATGATATGTTTTACATCTTTCCCTCGTGCAAATGGCAATGGGATGACGAAGGGGTGTCCATACTAAAATGGGAAAATAAGGAATGAGATCGTTTTTTGACGAAAAAGGAAAGGCAAGAAGAAGAACACGAACTCACACAATACTCAGTTCCTTCTTCTTCTTCCTGAGCTTCTTCTGATTCTCTCCTCGGTCAGCGTCCGCCGTTTCCTCCACCAGCCCTTCTTCCTCGTCGACTCTACTCTACCGTCCCCATCTCATTGGTCGTCGGTTTCGAACCCTAATGACTCACCGTTCTTACTGTTGTACCCTTAACCTCATCCATCACCGTCTTCGGCGTCAGTCCCTTTCTTTAATAGGTTTTTGTATAGAAAAACCCAAATTTGTATTTCGCCAAATTTAAATTAAAAAAAAATAACTTTGAATGCTTGTTTAGAGAGAGACACCACTCTCTTTGGTTGTACACAACTCTTTCGGCAATTTTCAAGATTATAATAACCCTACCCATCCAATGAAAGACAAACCCGAATAAAGACCATAATCGGCACAAAGTGTTGATCTAGCACCTAACAAAAAAAAAAAGCATGCAAACCCAAATCGACACACACGAAAAAGCAATGTACAAAATAATTATGCATAAACCTACCCTTTCTCAATGAATCTCTGCTCCCAAGATCTTCTCTAACATCTTGCCTCTTGCTGATATGGTCTTCAATGTTTCCTTGTCTATTCTTCTTCCTTCCGTTGTTTGTCCTTTCTCACAAATGGTTAATATGTTTTATCAACCTTCCCTGCCAATATGTATAACGGTAACAAACAACGTGACGTATTTAATAGATTTGTATGGGAGATATAATAATAAGCTTTGAATGATAATTAAAGTTGGAGAGTTGTGGTGTTTCGGGTTTTTTGGACGTTTTTTTTTTCTATATTACTTATTTAATTATTATACATATGGATTTTAATCCTAACAAAATCTTTAGTTTAGGGAGGATTTTTTTTTTGTCTAATATGTGGAGAAATAATAGAAGTTTTGTACACCAACTAAAAAATCGATGGAACATAAAATCAAATAACTTAATATTTAAAAAGGCATTATATTTAGATAAAACCATGAACAAAAAAATAATAAATCTTAATATTAAGATATTTGATTTTATGTTCCACAGATTTTTTAATTGAATGTATTAAAATTAGTAATATTCTAATTTATGTGTATATAATTAACAAAGATTTTAAATAATAAATAAAATTTAAAGCATAAGCCACATGGATGATGATGTGGATCCTAGGTGTCTTCACCACAAACCTTTAAACCTAACTATTATATATATAGATTATTGCGGCCACAAAATTCCAAGTGAATGATAATGTAACCCTAACCAAATTAACTAATAATGTATCAATAAAAATGCATATTTCCATTATTTTATATTAGCACATGCCGCGGAGATAATAAATAGAAATCAACAAAAAAATTATAAGACCATACATTGCGGTAGATATTAGATAAGATTTTTCTTTGGTTGTTTTTGGAGCTACATGAGATATTTTGATTATCTTAAAATTATATATAAATAAAGGCGTGGATGTTAAATAAAAGGATTTCATAAAATTATATAAATGGGTTGGCAAGTACACTGTAAATATATAACTAATGAAATTGAAATTACGTGTTATGAAATAGGAATCCATAGTTAATGATTTAAAATACTTAAACGGAATTGTGGTACATGTGTCGTTTAAATTTGTAAGTAATTTGGTGTTTTCATGTTAGATATGAACTTTTACCTATATATATATACAAAATAAAATAACATAAAATCACAATAAAACTGTAAAATATTTATACTAATTAAACTTAATATAACGATTATTCTTTTGTCGGCAGTAGAAAATTTGAAAATCTAGCAAACTGAAATTTAAAATCATATAGTTGAACAAGAAAACAAATTTGTAAAAAGAAGAAAAAACAAAATTTTTGGGGAACACTACAAAATCTGGGAAATAGAACAAACGAAATGTGGGGTGAAAGAGATGTCTATATATTTCAAAAGGGAAGTAAATAAATTTGAACTTATGGGAAAACGAGTTTTATAAGGGAAATTAAATAATGAAATCGATATCAAATACAATTACTATTTTCTTGGTCGAGAGAATATTTTGTGTTACAGTAAGCGTCAATCAATGTCGTTCATTGCCTGTAGAGAGATAATCTATAAACAGTATAAATATTTTGCAATTTAAATTAAATATTAATTTGAATGAAGAAGGAGCGTTCATTCTGTTTTTTTTTTCAATTTTTTTAATGAAATTTTGACCCAATTATATTTCTCAAAAGACTGAAGAAGTCCGAGTGAATGCCATCCAAGTTTGGATATTGTTTTTAAAATTATTGTGTTTATGTGACAGTTTATAAGATAGAGATAGGAAATCATCATTTTTATAGTGTACAATTATTTTAAAATAATTCTTATGATTTTAAAATAATGATATGTTTTACATCTCTGACGAAAAAAAATTCAAAATAATCCAAATAAATAACAATTAATAGTTTGAGAATAAATTTTTATAGATACATTCTCTCTCTTAGATTTATAAAAGAAAAAAAAAAGTCAAGAAGTATACACGGTTAAAAATGTATGGAATATATATTTGGGATATACAATAAATAACCTTTCTCTTATCAATAAATAGAAATTTTTTTCCAGAAAAAGCTTTGTTAAGATGGGATAAATCTCTAAATATAGCAAACAATTATTCAGATGGAAATTAAAAAAAATTATCCACGTCAAAACACGAAGACTTACGAGGCGGTTTAACTAAATTTTATGAAATCAGAATTTTATATAATTTTTTTTGTCGGCAATGTTTATATACTAAGCTCAAATCGTTCGTTCTCAAGCCATTGTAGAAGAAAGACAAAGAACATATGGTGAAAGAAAATTGATAATTTGTCGGAAAACATAAGAGTGTGAAAGAAAATAATTAATTATACCGGAAAAAAATAAAAACCATGGAAAATACGGAAGAACGAGAGAATCTATCGACAGCGTATAGTGAATGGAGAGAGAGAGAGAGAGAGAGAGAGAGAGAGAGAGAGAGAGAGAGAGAGAGAGAGAGGACGTTACAGAGCGAATGACAACTGGTAAGACATTTATATAAACTAAAACCAGCTCCTCTGTTTGCTTAACTTGTAACGAGAGAGAGAGAGAGAGATTCTAGGGCCGTTACTCCTCTCTCCATTTTCGAGTTTATAAACTGATTTTCAATACCCATCTGCAGATTTTCCGAGAAAGTTTTCGACTTTTTGCCGCTCCTGAAGGGAAAAAAAAAACCGAGAGAGTAAGTCAAATTCTCATCTCTTTTCTTCGTTGAACTGTCCTGGCGCGTGGCGTGTTCTTGTTCTATGTCCACTGTTTTGTATTGTGAATCCATTTCAATGCCTTGCCCGTAAATATTTATCTAAATCTTCCCATCCCTTTTTCCTGCTCCTCGAGACGAAGATTTTCTTGCTGGGTTTTCCAAGGAAAAAGTTTCGATCCATAACTTGGCGAGATTTGCTGAAAAGTTTTGACCTTTGATGAATTCGCAATCCGTTTTTAACATTTTAAGTGTGGTGAGATTTGTTCCCTTCGATTTTTTATTTGGCACCTGACTCCTTTTCCCGACTGAGTGGATATATTTATGAACAGTTTCGTCATTTGGGTCCCAGAATCATGTCTGAAAACTATAAAAACACTGACCAGACATTGACTGTTCTGTTCCTCGGAGACAAGATTTCTTTCTTTCTCATGTTTTCGTTTTAAGTTCTCTCTGCATTCTGTTCTTCTTTGCTTAATTTGATCAGATCGTGTTGGATTCTTGGATTCTTTGCTCCCGATAATCCTTTTACACAACAACTGATGAAGCACAAGGACGGGAAGCAAATTCCACAGCCCGAAAAGGGTTCGAGGATCGTCTCGATGGCGGTCCTCCTCGTTGTGCTCTGCGGCTTTTCGTTCTACCTCGGCGGCATATTCTGCTACGAGAAGGAAAAGATCGAGGCCAAGGATTTCGGCCGAACATCCGCAGTTTCCCCTCTCGGGATAAAGTCCGTCTCTTTCCAAGAATGCCCCATCGAATTCCAAGATTACACCCCATGCACCGATCCAAAGGTGGCCAGATTAACCTCTTCTTAGATCAGAATCGGATAATCCATTTCGTGTATTATATCGTGTTTTCGTGGAGTTACACTCTGTTTTTTCTTGGTTCAGAGGTGGAAGAAGTATGGCGTTCACCGGCTAAGTTTCTTGGAACGGCATTGCCCTCCGGTTTACGAGAAGAAGGAATGTCTAATTCCACCGCCGGATGGGTATAAGCCGCCGATGAGATGGCCGAAGAGCCGAGACGAGTGTTGGTACAGGTAAAAGGAACGATCTTTCAGCCGGTTTTGATCATATTACCAAACCTTGTGAATTGGGATTTGAGAGTTTAATTTGGACAGTACTGATAATGCCGTGGTCTTTAGGAATGTGCCATATGATTGGATCAACAAGCAGAAATCTGACCAACACTGGCTTAGGAAAGAGGGCGAGAAGTTCGTTTTCCCGGGTGGCGGTACGATGTTTCCCGATGGAGTTACCCGATATGTCGATTTGATGGAAGATCTTATCCCCGGAATGAAAGACGGGACTGTAAGAACCGCCATTGATACTGGCTGTGGGGTGAGTGAGTGAGTGAGTTTTCTCCTTTAGCATTCAAATCTCTGCTCAAAAGGCACGAAACCCGCTCGAGTTTCCGCGCATTTTTTTACCCGTTTCTGCGTTAAAATCGGTCTGTAAATTTTCGTATCTTTAGGTAGCGAGCTGGGGAGGTGATCTTTTGAATCGGGGAATCCTAACGCTGTCTCTTGCTCCGAGAGATAACCATGAAGCTCAGGTTCAGTTTGCTCTCGAACGCGGAATTCCCGCAGTTCTCGGGGTAATATCTACTCAACGGCTTCCTTTCCCGTCGAGTTCTTTCGACATTGCTCATTGCTCGAGGTGTCTTATTCCCTGGACTGAATTCGGTAACCCTCTCTTACAAGATCAACAAAGCCATTTACTTACATATTTTGTGTCTATTTCTCTTGATCAACAAGAGAATCCTAACATTCTCTCGATATTACTCGGTATCTGAACCTAAACCCGAATATTTCGGGTTGTATGTCACGTTACCCGATCTCATATATCACCCCTCCGAATATCCCAAACTCGGGTGTTTTTTGGCCGAGTCCTAATTACGAGAGGTGTTTCTTTGCTGCAGGTGGAATCTATTTGCTCGAGGTTCATCGTATACTACGTCCCGGTGGCTTCTGGGTTCTGTCCGGTCCACCAGTGAACTACATAGACCGATGGAAAGGATGGGACACGACCATCGAAAAGCTTCGGTCCGAGTTCGAGAAGCTTCAATCCGTTCTAACCTCCATGTGTTTCAAGAAGTACGCCGAGAAGGACGACATAGCCGTCTGGCAGAAACTTTCAGACAGCGACTGCTACGAAAACATGGCGGATAACACCGACACTACTTACCTGCCCAAATGCGACGACAGTATCGAGCCGGACTCGGCCTGGTACACTCCCCTACGTCCCTGCGTCATTGCCCCGAGCTCGAAAGCGAAGAAATCGAGCCTCGGGTCGATCCCGAGATGGCCCGAGAGGCTACATGTCGCGCCCGAGAGGATCAGGGATATTCACGGAGGAAGTGCAGGTAGTCTGAAACAAGACGACAGCAAATGGGAAAACAGAGTTAGACATTACAAGACACTTCTCCCGGCAATCGGGACAGATAAGATAAGGAACGTTATGGATATGAACACAGTGTACGGAGGTTTGGCCGCGGCTCTCATCGATGATCCTGTCTGGGTCATGAACGTGGTTTCCTCGTACGGCGCCAATACACTCCCTGTAGTGTACGATCGTGGCCTCATCGGAATTTACCACGACTGGTAAAAGAAAATATAATTTTAAAAAACGATCTCTTTTCATTAAGCACGTGTACGTTAACGATATGGTTTATTTTTTTGACGTGTATATATATATATATATATATATATATATATATATCCGCCATTGATGTGCAGGTGCGAAGCTTTCTCGACATATCCGAGAACATACGATCTGGCGATGAGAAAGAAAAGAAAAATAATTTACTCAGGCCTTGAATGGTAGGAGTTTTTGGAGTTTTTAGAATCCAAAAACAAAAAAAAACAACATTCAAATTTTTACAAAAGCTCGAGTTTCCGCGCATTTTTTTACCCGTTTCTGCGTTAAAATCGGTCTGTAAATTTTCGTATCTTTAGGTAGCGAGCTGGGGAGGTGATCTTTTGAATCGGGGAATCCTAACGCTGTCTCTTGCTCCGAGAGATAACCATGAAGCTCAGGTTCAGTTTGCTCTCGAACGCGGAATTCCCGCAGTTCTCGGGGTAATATCTACTCAACGGCTTCCTTTCCCGTCGAGTTCTTTCGACATTGCTCATTGCTCGAGGTGTCTTATTCCCTGGACTGAATTCGGTAACCCTCTCTTACAAGATCAACAAAGCCATTTACTTACATATTTTGTGTCTATTTCTCTTGATCAACAAGAGAATCCTAACATTCTCTCGATATTACTCGGTATCTGAACCTAAACCCGAATATTTCGGGTTGTATGTCACGTTACCCGATCTCATATATCACCCCTCCGAATATCCCAAACTCGGGTGTTTTTTGGCCGAGTCCTAATTACGAGAGGTGTTTCTTTGCTGCAGGTGGAATCTATTTGCTCGAGGTTCATCGTATACTACGTCCCGGTGGCTTCTGGGTTCTGTCCGGTCCACCAGTGAACTACATAGACCGATGGAAAGGATGGGACACGACCATCGAAAAGCTTCGGTCCGAGTTCGAGAAGCTTCAATCCGTTCTAACCTCCATGTGTTTCAAGAAGTACGCCGAGAAGGACGACATAGCCGTCTGGCAGAAACTTTCAGACAGCGACTGCTACGAAAACATGGCGGATAACACCGACACTACTTACCTGCCCAAATGCGACGACAGTATCGAGCCGGACTCGGCCTGGTACACTCCCCTACGTCCCTGCGTCATTGCCCCGAGCTCGAAAGCGAAGAAATCGAGCCTCGGGTCGATCCCGAGATGGCCCGAGAGGCTACATGTCGCGCCCGAGAGGATCAGGGATATTCACGGAGGAAGTGCAGGTAGTCTGAAACAAGACGACAGCAAATGGGAAAACAGAGTTAGACATTACAAGACACTTCTCCCGGCAATCGGGACAGATAAGATAAGGAACGTTATGGATATGAACACAGTGTACGGAGGTTTGGCCGCGGCTCTCATCGATGATCCTGTCTGGGTCATGAACGTGGTTTCCTCGTACGGCGCCAATACACTCCCTGTAGTGTACGATCGTGGCCTCATCGGAATTTACCACGACTGGTAAAAGAAAATATAATTTTAAAAAACGATCTCTTTTCATTAAGCACGTGTACGTTAACGATATGGTTTATTTTTTTGACGTGTATATATATATATATATATATATATATATATATATCCGCCATTGATGTGCAGGTGCGAAGCTTTCTCGACATATCCGAGAACATACGATCTTCTTCACCTCGACGGCTTATTTACCGCTGAGTCTCAAAGGTACATATATACCCATAACCTAAAGAATATTGTTAAAAAAAAAAATCCTTTTCCGGTTATTTTTAAAAAACCTAAAGAATATATATATGGGGAAAACCATAACATTAGATTTTATATTGAACTTGTTCGAATTCGATTATTATTATGTATTTTTTTTTGTATTTAATTTGGATTCTTTTTTTTCGGAATTTTTTTTTGAATCCATCGGATTTTTATATTGGAATCGTTTCGAATATCATTATGTATGATTTAGTTTAGATCGATTCGGTCATTTAGTTATTAACGGAATTTGTCACCCGTGGGAACGTGGAACAGGTGCGAAATGAAGTACGTGCTATTGGAGATGGACCGGATTTTACGTCCGAATGGATACGTAATAATACGAGAATCGAATTATTACATGGAGGCCATCGCTACCATCACGAAGGCCATGCGGTGGGGGTGCCGGAGAGAAGAGACGGAGACCGCTTCCCTAAATAACGAGAAGGTTCTCGTTTGCCAGAAAAAGCTCTGGTATTCCTCTAACCAATCCTCGAGATAATACCGGTTGGTAACCGGAGTTAACCGGAAATAACCGCAAAGATCCGATAGATTCGTGGCTTTCACTCGTCCCCAAGAAAGTTTTATAGTTTTTATTATGTATAAATATATACATGTCTAGATTATTCTTTTGCAATGTATCCTATTCCTGTAACCAAATTTCTATATTACCAAAAAATATGAATGGTAACCCCTCATAACTGAGATGCCTAATCAATAAACTTCTGGTTCACGCGGAGGGTTTTGCCTTATTGATAATGTAACTTAATTCACATTGAAAGCGTTCTTGGTTGTCACTGGTAAATTATATGAGAAATCACTTAGTACAAACAATATTAATCGATAATAAAGAAATTCTGAAATAGGTGGACAAAGAATCACTAAGTCACATTGATTTGTATTGAATTTAGAGATAAATAGATTGTTTTATATGAATATATGTTAAGGTATTTTTATAAATATATAGATAATCAAAGATATTTTAATCATTACCTATGGAATTATCCGTAAAAAACTAATAAAAAAACCAATCTAAATCCGTAAATCGGATATCCGTCAAAACCGGCCAGTCTCGGATAGAAACCCAAAGCTGGTTAACGGATACCGCGGTACCGTACCGACCGTGTAGTTTTTAAAAGTTTATTATACCCCTATAAGTTTATACTATTTACAAATATACCATTGGGTTAAATTTTACGTATCCCTACCCTTCCTGGCCCTCTCTTCTCTCACATCTCTCGGACTTTCGTGCTCTCCCATCGCCGTCAACTATCTTACTCGCCTCTCTCCCCTCGACTCGGCTCTCAGGTTCGTTTCTCTGGCTCTCTCAATGGGGTAGGGTTTCGATTTTTGATTTCTCGTGCTGGGTTGCGGTTTTGGTGTTCGATTTCTCAGATTTTGGTCGGTTAAGGTTAGGATTTCGATGGATTAGGGGTTTCAGCAAGTTAGGATTTTGGTGGTTTAGGGGTTTCATGGGTAGGATTTCTCGTGTTAGGGTTTTGGTTCGGATTCAACTGATTTTGTTTTCCGATGTTGCTAAAATTGATTTTGACATAGGCAGAAGTAGCCTTCATTCGCACTCTAGTCGATCAATTTGGTGAAGTGTGACTTAGTTCCGTAATCTTATTACAAATCGTGCCTGAAGCTCGGGCTTACTAAATGGATTTCTATGCCACCTTTCAGCTAGCTGCTTTAGTTTCTAAAGGATGGCTCCTCCAACTACAGGAGCCAAATCTTTGAAGGATTATTTGAAAAAGTACGAGAGTAGCGATGTTGAAGAAAAGAAAAGGAAGAAGAAGAAGAAGGCCAAGCCTGAAGCCAGAGGGGTTTTAGTAGTGGACGAAGATCCTGTTTGGCAAAAACAAGTAAATCTTGAAGAAGAGGAAAATGAAGATGAAACCGGTAAGGATTTGTCTCTTGAACATATTGCGTCTGTGGTTTACTTTGTTGATCTATCATCTTTTAATCATTTCGTTTCTTTTGTGTTGAAGAGGAGAAGCCTCTGGTTGATGAGGACATTGAAGTTAAGAGAATGAGGAGGTTGGAGCAAATTAAGGCAAGACGTGCATATAACGCAATCGCTGAGGATGGCAGTGGTTGGGTTTCATTATCTCCGAAGCGTTTAGATGTAGGCGATGAAAAATCTGATATTTCGCCCCCACGTAGACAGAGGACTAGGAATGACTCACGTTCACCTGAACCTGGATCCATACCCTATGTGTCGGATAGAGAAGACATCGATATGTCTCCTCCACGGCGAAGGAAGCGTCATCACACACCTTCACCTGACCGAAAACGTGTTGAGCCTGTCGGTTTGGATTCTGATTTGTCACCACCACGTAAGCGAAAAGTACGGAATGACTCACTTTCACCAGAAACTGAAGGTAGAGTTCCCAAAAAGCAGACTCAAGATTTATCCCCTCCGAGGAAACGATATCATTCTCCGTCACCTGAACCTGGCAGGAAACCCTCAGGGTCGCTCGGTTTAAATGACGATTTGTCTCCACCTCGTAGAAAGAGGGATATTCGTTCTTCTCCTGACCAAATTCTCAGGAAACGGAACAAGGGTTTGTCTCCTTCCCATAAGAGGCGGTATCATTCTCCATCACCTGAACCAAGCATATCGCATGGTTTGAAGGGTGATTTATCTCCGCCTCGTAGAAGAAGAGATATTTCTGGTTCTCCCGATTCAGATCTTTCACCGCCAAGAAAAACCAAGGAGTATGCACAACCTTCTTCTAGAAATTTGCCCGCAAGTACAGATTTGGATATTTCTCCTCCAAGGAAATCCGGCAGAAGATTACCGCTTCCTCCGAGAGCTAAAGAAGAAATAAAAACTGGTTTGATTTCCGGCCGCGATATCCAGGCTGAGAATGTGAAAACCAAGAAGAACGAATTTTTGAGGTAAGAGTTTTAAACCAAACTATTTTTGGTCCTCTTGGCTGACCCTTCTTTACATTTTATCTGTCATAATAGGATGGCCAAATGCCTCTGACATTAGCTTTTTCTGGTCAATAATCCACTAAGCTATCACCAACATTTGGCTATGGGGATGCTGTTTTAGCAATAAGTATTGTTTGTTTGAAGCTGCTTGTTCTTGACAAGATATACATCTCTGCAGGTTTAAAGAAATGGATCCTATGCTAAGCGGGGAAAAGGCCGAAGGGGTGTTCCGTGACAAGATCACAGGTGAGAATTACGGACCCTAAGTGATGTAGGACATGACCATTAAGTGTCCTTCTATTTTCTGCTTTCTTTTTCCTTTTATATTTGCTTTTTTCTAGTTTTTTTTTCTTTTTGTTTCTCTGATTCCTAGTGAACTTGGGAATGAGGCCATGTTGTTGTTGTTGTCTCTGATTCCTAGTCCTAGCAGTTCTGGGTCTTATTTCTACCTTTAGATAAAGGGGTCTTGTGTTGAGTTCTAGCCAAACAATTCAGCAATAATATCAAAGTTTCCTGAGATTTCTTACGAGTTTTACCAAAGTTTCTTCTGAAACAACTTCCGCTGCACCACTTGTACTCCGTGGGAAATGCATTATCTCGGATCTCACTTTCAGATACTGATTGATATTGCAGGGAAACGTATATCAAAGGAGGAGTATATGAAATCAAAGAAAAAGGTGGAAGAAAAGCCAAAGGTATTGTTGACGAGTGATCTAGGTTAATGCTGTACATTTATATTTAAAGGAACATTCTTTACACTCCTAAGATTGTTTCGTTTGTGGTATTACTGTGTAACTTAGGTTGAAGCTTCACAATCTTCATTTATCCATGTTTACTGAACATATCTGTAGTATTTTCAGTCGAAAATTTCATGAGCTGTGGGAGCTCGGATGTTAATGTTTTATGTCCAATCTGATTCATTTTTAGGACTAGAACTTCCATCTAATTGATTTTTTTTGTTCCCTGCAGGAGATAAAAGTTGAATGGGGAAAGGGTTTGGCCCAGAAGCGTGAAGCAGAGGCTAGATTACAAGAACTTGAGCTCGAGAAGGACAAGCCATTCGCCCGGACCAGGGATGATCCGGAACTCGACAACATGCTGAAGGACAGGATTAGATGGGGCGATCCCATGGCTCATCTGGTCAAGGTAATTCAAATATTTCATATAACTGTAAGTGCCTCACAGATTAACACTGTTCTAACACATTCCATAATTTTTTTGTTGTCAGAAAAAGCGACATTCTTCTGCTCTGCTCGATCTGGGGGCGGATGAGAAAATGAAAGAGTCGGGTTTTGTAATTCCGCAAGAGATTCCGAGTCATAGCTGGTTAAAGAGAGGATTAGAAGCTGCACCGAACCGATATGGGATCAGACCCGGAAGGCATTGGGATGGAGTTGATCGCAGTAACGGTAAGCTCTTCCCGATACTCGCAGAATGTAGTAATCTATTGCAATCCAATCCACACAAACGTTAAGATCGATTCGCCCGAATAATGAAATTTGACATAACTGATAATAGTGTCTGATAATTACGGTTAATGGCAGGGTATGAGAAGCAGCTGTTCAAGAGGATGAACGAGAAAACAGCAACCGAAAGGGAAGCTTACCTTTGGTCTGTTTCTGACATGTGATCCCCCCAAAAACAGATATATTATATATATATATATATATATATATATATATATATATATCGTTTATACTCGAAACCTTTGTGATGATATATATTTTTTTTCATTCATTGGTTTATTTGTTACTTTTTTGTTTTTTGTATTGTTTGATGCTTAGATATGTTAGTATTATTGTCACCATCATGTGGTTGTTAATGTTAATTCTATGGGTCAGAGGCCAAACCCTCTCTAATCCAGATTGGAAAATCTTTATATTTATTATAATAAATCCATCATGTGGATCATGGTTTTTTATTTATTTATTTAGGACGGGTAATTTCGTAACTAATCTTAGGGAGAGAGTTTTTGCAGACAAAAAAATGAATGATACATATGTATATATATATGTTTTTTTTTATTTCGCACCAAAGGAAAAAATATTTGAAAAATCGTTATTTGTTGGACCGTCGATGGCGGCTTTAGATGGTGGGACCGCCGGAGCAGGTCGCCCGGTAACATATACAAACATATTACAGCTATATCTCATATTATAAAATTATTGCAATGTGCATAGGAAAAAAAAAATACAATACGTACATATATATATGTATATGTCTTATACGCATATAAGATTAGACCGATTGGTAAAATCGACATATTAATAAATTTACGTCTGGAAATGTTATCTAAACCTCAATTACACGTGATTAAGTAATTCATAACATTTGTTTTGATAACGCGTTTCCTACTATTTTTATATATGCATCTGCTTTGAAAACAACGTCCGTCAATATTTGTTCGTTATGATAAAAACCCTTATGTCAACATGCGATTAATTATTAATCCATGTACCAAATACAATTAATTAGCTTCCCAAATTGTCATATACTCTCCTCCAACTTCGACGTCACCATCCATATGCCACCATAGTAATAATTAACCTTCTTGTATATATGTTTTCAAACGTAAATAAAAAAAGGAAATTAAAATATTATAATTAATCATGCAATTTTTGGAAGAAAAAAAAAAGATGATAAGAACAAAATGAAAACGGACACGGTACTCTCACGAGAGTTATGTTTTAAATCGCATAACAAATTAAAATATTCCAAAACTTGATAGAGAAAAATATATATATTACCAGGAATAGAACATGGTAGTTAGCTAAAAACTTGTCAACACATGTCTTGTAGTATTTTCCTTCTTAATTATGTTCTATTCTTTACTACTTACCATTTTAATCTAGCAGCCATGGAACTAAGCTTTCTCTCTCTATATAACATCTTTCACTTGGCTTGCATATTCTCCATGATCACATGCAGTCACTTGAAACAAAAAAAAAAATCTTGTTCATTTTTTTTTTCAGTTTCGAAAATGGCGAAATTCGGTTCGTTTCAGCATCTAGGTTTGGCAATGATTCTCGGGTTTTTAGGGTTTGTGAGCTTGTCTGAAGCCGAGTTGAAGATGGGGTTTTATCACAAAACTTGCCCTAATGCAGAGAAGATCGTACAAGACTTTGTTAACGAACACATCCACAATGCTCCTTCTTTGGCCGCTGCCCTCATTAGAATGCATTTCCATGATTGCTTCGTCCGCGTACTATTTTTACTTCCATATTATATGTTCCATTTGTTAGGTTTTTCATATACGGTCAATGTAGACATAGTGTAAGAGTTCATTACGCAATTTCCATATATATATATATATATATATATATTATATATATCTATATATATATTTAAAAGTCGTGTATTAAATTATCGATTAATTTGGGGTTTAGGGTTGTGATGCATCGATCTTGATCAATGCGACGTCGAACAACCGACAAGTGGAAAAGGTTTCTCCTCCGAATCTGACTGTCCGAGGTTTCGACTTCATCGACAGAGTGAAGTCTCTCTTAGAAAAAGAGTGTCCCGGTGTCGTCTCATGCGCTGACGTCATCACACTCGCGACCAGAGACTCAATCGTCGCCACGGTACGTACTAAATGATTTATCAAAACCGAGTGTCAAAATTAATAACTAAAATGATGAATTAAAATCGGTTTGGTTTAATTTTGAAATTCTCGGTTTAGGGTGGACCGTTCTGGAACGTACCGACCGGACGTCGAGATGGACGGATCTCTAACGCGGCCGAGTCTCTGAACAACATTCCTCCTCCCTTTGGAAATTTCTCGACTCTTCGGAAACGTTTCGCTGACCAGGGACTCGATGTCAAAGATCTCGTCTTGTTATCCGGTAAGAACTTCGGTTAACCGGTTGGTATGGTTATAGTTCTGTCCGGTTCTAAAATTAGGTCAAGAAGTAGGTATATATAAAGCAACTTGGTTTGGTCAACCAAACTAACCACTTGAATAATTCGAAATAGATCGAGAACCAACTAAAACCGTGAGAAAATTTGTTTAAAACCCGGAACCGTTAAATTAGGGTGGACAATTTGGTCACTAACCGAATAGCTGAACTGATCCAATTAAAAATAATTTTTTCGAAAAAATCCAATCCAACCAAACCGAATAAAATAACCGAAAAATCAATTTTTAAATTAGTATTTTTATAAATAAAAACCGAAATATAACGGAATTCGAACCGAAATAAAACCTAAACTAATCGAAATACCCACCCTATATTGTATGACACGGTTCGAAGCTGTAAATAAACCCTAGCAAACAGTAAACCGGTAAATTAGAAGCTAAACCGGATCCAAACGGCATCGTTTTGATCGTCCAGGAGCTCACACAATCGGGGTTTCTCACTGTACGTCCTTCTCGAACCGTCTGTTCAACTTCACCGGCGTCGGAGACCAGGATCCGTCACTGGACAGCGAATATGCCGCTAATCTCAGATCCAGAAAATGCAGATCTCCTTCCGACAACATGACCAAGGTCGAGATGGATCCCGGTAGCCGCAAATCCTTCGATCTGAGCTACTACAATCTCCTCCTCAAACGCCGCGGCCTGTTCGAATCCGACAACGCCTTGACCACCGACTCGACGGCGCTCGCTCTGGTTCGTCGCCTGGTCGCCGGGTCGATGGACGAGTTCTTCGCCGAGTTTGCCAAATCGATGGAGAAAATGGGTCGGATCGGTGTTAAAACCGGGTCCGACGGTGAGATCCGACGATACTGCGCTTTCGTTAATTAAACTTGTTTTAAAATTTACTTTCCGTTTTGTTTGTGTGTGTGTGTCTGTGCCTGGGTTTTTTAATTATTTTTATTTTTATTTTTGGGTGAAAAAATGTGGGTTTTCGAATAAGTTTTTTTTTTTTTTTTTTTTTTCCATTTTCATGCATGTGAAATTGTTGCAAGGAATCTACCATCCATGTATGTTTTCAATAAAAATCTTAATTTCTGGATTGGATATACGCGAATTATTCAGATGGTTAGTACGTACTTATTTTATAATCTAAAAATTTATCGAAATTTTGATCTAATTATATCTAATAAAAAATTAAAAAAATTCGGATAAATATCGAGACTCGAACATATCTTATGATAAATATAAAGAAAAGACAGTGATATTTGTGAATTGATTAAGGAATATATCATTATCTGTTCATCACCTTCTAATGTCGACAAGGAATATTTATTTATTACACATTCCCTATGCCTATGCGTGTCACATTTACTATAATATGTCTCTATTTAAGAAAGTATACTTATCTTCTAATATTATTTTGTGTAATATACTTTATTTTTTAATGTTTATATTAGCTTGTTTATAATTTGGATTGCATAAAACAAAAGTTAAAACCAATGATAATATTGAAGAAACCGTGAGTCAAAATGACGATGCTAAGGTGTTGACTCAATGTCTAAACTGTTGTATGGTATTTTACTTTTTTGCCCTTATGGTTTTAAGAAATCCCAAAATTACCCTTAATTCACCTCCTTTTCTTCTTCCTCCTCCGCCTGAGCTCTATAACTCGGTCGTCCCTTTTTCCGGTCATCCTTCGCCGTTGGATTCTGTTGCTTCTAATCTTCTCCGGAGATCTCCAATCACATCCGCAGATTCGAAAGAATTGTTCTTTTCTTCTTCTAATATTCCGCCGTGAAATATAATTCATAATCTCGGAAGCAGACCGAGAGTAAGATTTCTGGATCATCGTTTTCGCCTGATTTTTTTTTTTTAATTTTAGGGGTTTCTGAATCTGTACAATACGTATGTTTTAGATTCGTCTGTAAATGTATATGTACCAACCTTTTATATTTTTTTGCATGCGCTTCGATTTTATTTCAGTTTTAGTTTCAAGGTGAATGTTTTGATCGTAGGTGATCTTGGCCAGTTATCATCAATTCGCTCTGCCAATCTGCAGAAATGGCTGTGTAAGTGTTTTTCTCTCCGTTTTCTCGGGAAAGTTGAAACAACACTCTCCCTTCTATGGCTTTTCGGTTGAATCTGCTCGATTTCCTTATTGGATTTCCGTGAATTTGGGCGAGATGTGTTTCGTTTTCTCTGAATTATATCTTATGCTTTCCGTTTACCCTCCTTTGGTTCTATCAATTTGTGCATTATAGGTTTAACTGGACTCCTTTGTCAGCATAAGCTCTGTTTCTTATTCATTTACTCTATCCATTTCTGTTAATAGTAGACAGATCATCAATCTTATTGTTGATGCAGTGTTGCTTCTGCTCCTGGGAAGGTGTTGATGACAGGGGGTTACCTCGTACTGGAGAGGCCAAATGCTGGGCTTGTATTGAGTACAAATGCACGGTTCTACGCCATTGTGAAGCCACTCTATGAAGAGGTCAAGCCTGAAAGTTGGGCATGGGTATGTAATGCCCTATAGAAACATATGCTTTCACCTCGTTGTTTCCTTATTGGGACTTAAACGTTATCTCTCGATTGACTAATTTTCGTATATAGTTGGGAGTATAGTATAACATTGGGAGCTGATAAACAATATTGTTGTTTGTTTGCTTGCTTGCAGTCGTGGACAGATGTCAAATTAACATCGCCACAACTCTCGAGAGAAAGCATGTATAAACTGTCACTTAAACATTTGGCTCTTCAATGTGCGTCTGCAAGGCAAGACTTCTAAGACTTTAACAAATGTGCTACACCCTTGTTGATCATACACATATATGTTTGTGTTTATGTCTTGCTCTATAACTGGTAATATTTGTGGAGATTTGATTTGTTGAGAGTAGACGATAGAGCACTGAATGATTTTTCTTATTATGCCCCTGTCTCTCTGCAAAAAAAAAAAAAACAGTGATTCAAGAAACCCCTTTGTAGAGCATGCTGTGCAGTATGCTGTAGCTGCTGCTCATGTAGCAAGTGACAAAAGCAAGAGAGAAATGCTCCACAATCTCCTCTTGCAAGGCAATCTTTGATTCTCAGATCTTTTTTTTTTATCTGTTATCTCTAAAGTGGCCTTTGGTTATCTAAACTTCGTTCTAAACTCTTTTTTACAGGTCTTGATATCACAATCTTAGGCTGCAATGACTTTTACTCATATCGGAGTCAGGTGCTCCACCTTTTCTCTGCCACAAAACTTATATTTGCTTGCTTTCACGTTTGTTTATGCCATGTCTTGTTGCTTTTTGAATTCCATTCTTGTTTAAACAACTTAATGTGACTTGAAGTCTACAGGATATTCTAACCAATACACTGGATATTTCCATGGCAATCAAGATCAGTGTTATACTTTTTAGGAGAGACTGTCTTATGAAGATTGATGTTAAAATATTATTCAAGGAGAATTCGATTTTATCTGGCATGTTCTAAACAATACAGCACTGAGGCATCTCCTATAAGATCTAGCATGCAATATTGTTAGGTTAGCTCTAGTTCTTATCGACCATTACTGTTAAATATCGAGCGTCATAGCACTTTTTACTTGAGATGCTAGTCCAAAATGTTGATAAACTTTTCTTGTTCTCATAGATTGAGTCATGGGGCCTTCCTTTGACATCAGAATCTTTGGCCACCCTCTCGCCTTTTGCATCAATCACATTCAATGCTGAAGAATCAAATGGTGCTAATTGCAAGCCTGAAGTAGCGAAAACTGGCTTAGGTTCTTCTGCAGCTATGACAACAGCTGTTGTTGCTGCACTGTTACACTACCTTGGAGTGGCTGACTTGTCTGATCCCTGCAAAGAAGGAAACTTGGCATGTTCTGGTTTAGACGTTATCCATATGATAGCGCAAACTGCTCACTGTCTTGCACAAGGAAAAGTTGGAAGTGGTTTTGATGTCAGCTGTGCTGTCTATGGGAGTCAGCGTTATGTTCGCTTCTCTCCAGACGTGTTATCATTTGCTCAGGTTTATCATTTGATAAGTCTTCCTTTTAGAAAGCTTTCTCCACAAAACATCATTTCTTCAAGTGCATCTAAATGGAACAGGTTGCAGTAAATGGTCTGCCATTACCTGAAGTCATCGGCGGCATTTTAAAAGGGAAATGGGACCACGAGAGATCTGAGTTCTCTTTGCCACCACTGATGAATCTTGTAAGCAAGCAATCAGATGCAGAATCTTAGTGGAGAGTGAATGCAATGAGCAAACAAGCTTTTAATTCAGAAAGAAAGAACTGCCGTGAATCCTCAACAGCTTCTTATTTCTTTGACTCCCTTTTCTAAGAATTTATTGTTTGGCAGATTTTGTTAAAATCCAGCATTCTAACAGGATCTACTCTTTTCTTATACAGTTCCTTGGGGAACCTGGAAGTGGTGGATCCTCCACGCCATCGTTGGTGGGTGCTGTGAAAAAGTGGCAAATGGCTGAACCAGAGAAATCCCGGGAAAATTGGAAAAATTTGTCTGATGCAAATTTGGAGCTTGAAACTAAGCTAAACATGCTGACCAAATTAGCCAAAAACCATTGGGATGCTTATATCGGCATCATTAAGTCGTGCAGTGTGCTAACTTCGGAGAAGGTACTTACCCACTTGTCTAGAGCAATATCATTCGATATTTTGAATCAAGAAGGGATGTGGATGATTCAGCTTCTTAAATCTCATGCACAGTGGATGCAACATGCTACTGAACCAATCAAAGAGACGATTATCAGAGAGTTGTTAGAGGCGAGAGATGCTATGTTGATGATCAGACATCTTATGCGGAAGATGGGTGAGGCTGCTGGTGTTCCTGTAAGTTCCTTGTCCCTTTTCTGATGTTTGCTTTGTATGTCAACCGACCATACAGGCTCTGAAAATTTCTATTTATGTTATATATAATAAGCATGGAATACAGCCTTTATAAGCACACAGAGATTCAACAGCAGGAATTATATCTTATGCTTTCCGTTTACCCTCCTTTGGTTCTATCAATTTGTGCATTATAGGTTTAACTGGACTCCTTTGTCAGCATAAGCTCTGTTTCTTATTCATTTACTCTATCCATTTCTGTTAATAGTAGACAGATCATCAATCTTATTGTTGATGCAGTGTTGCTTCTGCTCCTGGGAAGGTGTTGATGACAGGGGGTTCAAGCCATGATATTTCCGGCAAATTGGCTGGTTTTGGATTTCCAATGACCTTAAGAGACCATGGCACTGCAGATAGAGCCTGAATCACAAACTCAACTTTTGGATTCTACAATGAGTGGTGAAGGAGTTCTGCTAGCTGGTGTTCCTGGTGCTGGTGGATTTGATGCCATATTTGCAGTCACTTTAGGTGATTCTGGCAGCACACTGACCAAGGCATGGAGTTCACAGAATGTTCTTGCCTTGTTGGTGAGAGAAGATCCGCATGGCGTTTGCTTGGAAAGTGGCGATCCACGTACATCTGGTATCACATCAGGTGTTTTATCCGTTCATCTTGGGTAAGCCGCATTCTTTTACGACTTTCGATTAATCAAGGGTCATCACCGGGTTTGGCTTAGTGTACTGTTTTTCACATGAGTTGTATAGACCTGGGTACTGAATTTCTTGGCTAATCATGTGTTTCTAACCCTTTGTAAGGTTTGTACTCTTGGAAAACACTTGCTGAAAAGTAAAACAAAATTTATTTACAGTAGTTTTCAATTTGTTTCCATATTTTGCTCGGTAACTCCTCTCCCCTCTATCATCTCATGATAAACATCCAAACTTTCTTCCTCGAAGCTCATTTCTTTTACATACCCTTTGATCATTGAGGTGAATTCAAAGGTACATGGATCTCCGAAAACCGAATTTGGCATAATCCATGCTGTCCTCCCTGCCTGAGAGAGCAGAGGTGGCCAAAAGGCTGCTCTTGGAGAAAGGAGAAGACCAGAACAAACCCAGCTTGAAAAATCTGGCATGAACCTGCTTGAACTAAGAGGTACAAACATTCTTGCCCGTTTGTCCTTCAATTGAATTCTGGGTTCTGAATGATATCATATTTCTGCAACAATGGAGCCTGTAGGATTAGTGCTTCGATCATCCTCTCATCCCACCATTACTGACCTACCTTGTTTTTCTTGTCATGAACCAAACAAGGCACAACCCAACAGCTGAAGCTCAAGAGAAACCAATCATGCCCTATAGGGTGTTGAGTGTCGGAATTCAGATTCAGTGACAAGAGTACCCGTCACTAGAACTGAGTTCCGATCTTCAGTTTTGGTAGGGGAATGGGATTGGGTAGGCATGAAAGATCAAGAAATGCATAGGGAATTGGGTAAAGATGGAAATTTTTTTGCCCAGAATTGAAGACTGGGGTTGAAAGTTAGAAACTTTGAGAATCTCATGGACGAGATTTTTCCAGGGAAAGAATATGATGACCCCACCCACCACGACCACAAGTATTAAATTTGGGATATTTTGATTATAGCTTTTGCTGAGAAATGGTTTTGGGGGGGG